TTTTTTTTTTTTTTTTTTTTGTCATTTTGATTGTGAGTACTGTTTCCTTTCCTTTCGGAAAAGCATTTTGTTTCTGCATTTAATTTATTTTTTGTTTTTATATATGTTTATGCTGTCAACCACTCACAGTTTCAAGCAAATGCTTATTACCTGAGAAGGAAATGAAAACAACACTGTTTTGAGGCTAAATCAAATTTTGTTGAGAAGTGTTTCAATTTCAAAACTAAAAATTTGGCTGCAAATATGTGCTACTTTTCTCCTCAAATACCCACTCTTGAACTTTTGTTAACATAACTATCGATGATTGAGCAGAAGCATTCACAGCAGAAGTACTATAAGCACGAACCACTCAGTTTTTTAAGACATGTATGTTTTTCACAAACCTTATTAGATGCATTTATCGTTTAGGACTTCCTATCACCACTCGTATCATTCCACAGTACTATAGGGTTCATGACCTGTCATGATAAATATTCCATTATGATATGCTAAATTAACAATAATTTGAGACGTAATCTTCTCTAATAGCCTGTATCCTGTTTTTGGTGGTATAGGGTAGAAAATACGAGCTTGTGGCTACCATTACTCACCATGGCCGGGATCCATGGAAAGGCCATTACACTGCTGATGCACGGCACCCAAGCGGCAAGTGGGTGCGTTATGATGATGCATCAGTCACACAAATAACCGAAAGCAAGGTGCTTCATGACCAGGCATATCTTCTTTTCTACAAACAAGTTTAGTCTAAACCAAAAGGCATTTACGTTACAAATTCTTTGTACATTATGTAAGGCTGTTTAGATTCATAATCTGAGTATAGAATCGAGCAATATCCGAGCCATGGAGGAAAAAAGAAGGGGTATTTGTGCTGTAGACCCCGCCAGTGAAATCATGGGATGAGATATATACTGAAATAGCATTACCTGTGTAGGAAAATGTTGGAATTTGGAGATTATTAGGTGAAAAATGGGTCGAGAATATGTAGCACTTGTATTCGAGCCTCTCTGTACGTCTCTAGACAGAAAAGTGTTTAGAAGAATTTCCAGGCTCCAAAGCTCTTCACTAAACGAACCATCTGCAAATAAATTATTTGATTTTAAAGTTCCTGGCCAGTATTTCATAGTAAATTTGAAACGAGAATATGGTACTCAGTTTTTACTTGGATATGTTTTTTTTTTGTTAAGTATATTTTCTTGATAATATGCACCATTGAAATGACGCTTGTCTTTTTTTTCCTTAATTTTTTTTTAATAAAATCTCATTAATTAAACTGTTAAACTGTCATTACTTAAAGACTAATGAGAAATTTTTTATATGGTATTTCAACTTCATCTTATTTTTGCTTTTGGCATCCAAAATTTTACTTAATCAGTTATTGTACCACTGGAAAAATGACATAAAATTAAGAAAATAAAATATGAAAAAGATTGAAGATAATATCATTTCGAATTTAAAGCTCACATGAGTTCAAAACACCAAATTAATTAAGGCTTATTGCTGCCCATGAAGAGGAACAAATGAGAGTTCACACATCAAATTGGACAACCGAGTTCCCTGAAATCGTCGGTTGAAGTATTTGTCCCATAGTTCCGCACTACCGGAAATCTAGAAACTTCACTTGTGTTTACCTGACTATTTAAAGGTCCGATCAATGATCGGGATATACCGTTGGATTCCTTATGAAAAGAGTTTTCTATACATATAAGTTTCACAAATATCGAATGGTTGGGTCTCTAGTTACATTAAAAACAATTCACTGCATAATTCTTTGATTTTTTGAAACTCCAATGAAGATTTTTGACAAAGTTTGAGGTATGATGAAATTAAAAATATCTTTAGATAGATCGAGTCGAGAGCTTCAACATGATACATAATTTTCTAAAATTCACTAATTGTAGACAAACGACGAATGACGGCTAATGTGTGTGTGTGTGGTGTGTGAGAGAGGATATGGTGGTGAATGGGTGGGGTGGGGCCATGGGTGTATGAGGATTATCAGTAATATCCATAGTTTCCTTAATGAATGTAAAATAATTGCTCGTTTTCTTACTGTTGGATCATTCGATCTGATGGCTACGCTTTATTCTTATTTTGAGCACTATTCTCACCAAAGCGCATCCATATATATATATAACCTCGTTTTATAACAAAATCACTATCAACATATAAGTTAATAAGCCATGCCAGACAAAGTACACTACAACATAAAATTCAAATTGCAATAAAAGTCTTGCAAACACTGATGCATGTTGAAATAAATTTGCATCGAATAGGAATACTGAGAATATAAAATCTCCTCTCAAACACACTGAAATCAACAATCTTGTCTCTAGAGAAGATGGTGTAGGAGAAAATAAAAAAGCAGTGGTTGGTAAAAAGAAAAACAGAGTACTCCTAGAAATATTCGAAAAGTTCCAAAGCGAAATTTACTGTTTTCACGAGCTCAGCTGCCTCAAGTTGTACTTGGCCAATTCTTTGTACTTCTCAACTACTCCAATCAAGCACACAGTCTGAAGAAAAAAGTGTACGGCACATTTAATATACAATAAACAAGAAATAGAGTTACATTAGACTCAAAACAAGCGTGCGGTTATGATAAAAAAAAGTAATACATATAGGGAAAAAAGAAGATATGACATCTCGACTGAAAATGGTGTCATGATATGAGCCAAGATAGCCTAACCACATCCGGAGGCAAGGGCTTTTCTTGTAGCTATTCAGAATTAGTAAAAAAGCATTTCTCCTTACCTTGACAACTTGGACCATTATGTAAAAATCAGGATTGGACAGATCAACTTTATGCAGAGATGGAACCGTCTTGGCAACAGTGTCAATAATTTTGGCCCGATCGACACCAGTATTTGCACGAGCATCATACAACACTGCAAACTGAGATGAATAATGATCAAGAGTGATATTTATTATTATTATCTCACTGGGTTATTTTTATTACAGCAAGGCATGCGGCTAATACACCAACAAGCTACTAAAAAAATTTTCTTTTTACATTGACAATTGTTAACTTTCATAATGTAATCAGAATTTTAACTGTTGAAGCATGTTTGGTTTGGATCTTTATTTTTTGTAATAGTTCTGAATTTTGCACACGGAGTACTCTTACAGTACAATTTTTGTTCACGAAAATAATATTCACTAGTCAACTTTGAGCTGCTAATTTTCGAACACTGCCAAATTCAGATTTTTTAAGATCTTTCCATCTTGCTTCAAAAAATTACCATCTCCAAAACCAAAGCTTTCGCAGAAACTCACTAAGAGAAGTAGGCAATAATTTGTAATAAATAATGCCCAAGATTTTCCCTGTCTAAGTTCATTCATCACAGAGATAGAACCCTCTCAATCAAAACTTACAATCGTGGTGGTTATTCTTTTGATTGCTGAACGAAACAAAACTAACGCTCAAAATTTAACAGTCTTACCTTGCGCGGGGCCTCAGTTTCTACTGGAAAATGCTTCTCAATCAGAGGCTTTATGGCCCGCTTGATTTCCTCCTCCGATGTGTAGCATGATACTTCAACCGGAAGCACTCTCAACAGAAATCTGTTTTTATGACAGAATTTAAGACACATTATTAGACTGTTGACACTATAATAGGGAGAAAAAAATTGGGTTCAAAGAAGAAGACATGAAAGCAAAAGAACCTGGATATATGTTTCTTGGTTGAAGCCAGAGAAGTCATCATATGTTGGACAATGTCCTTTGGGCTTGGATCTCTCTCTCTCTTGTGCATTTGAATAAAGACAACACCATTACATCCTGTGTCGAGCTTACTAAAACGCCTCTGCTTAAACAAAGCCCATGAATCTATTAGCCCATATAATATGCCTGACCACTAGGGGAGAATATAACAGTAGACGGCTTAAAAATCAAAGCACATTGAAGACCTATTTTGGATTATAGCTTTTGTTTAACAAGTTGAACAGTAGCGTCATGAATCGGAAAATAATAAACCAACTGTACCTAAATCAAGACTAGGGATGTCAGTTAAATAACACCAGAGGGACATCCTGTTATACTCGAAAATATTCTAGCTTTATCATTGAAAAATACAATATACCCCTGAAGGGGCTACCTGCAGTCATTATTAACCAATTGAAATAAACGCCGAAGCCCATTTTTTGTTGTATTGTAATTAACCCAACTGTAGTCCACATAAATATGTGTATAAATGAAATAACAAACAAGACTCGATCGACAAAACTTTAAAGAAAGCATAAGTTTGGCCAACGAAGAAAACAAACACACCATTCACATTCAAACTCACCTTGCTCTTATCTCCCAATTCGGCTAGCTCAGCCTCAATTAGCCTATCAACAGATTTATCTTCTACACACTGTCTCTTTACAGGTGGTTCCACAGCTTCTATTTCTGTTTTTTCACGAACATCAGCTAGTTTCTCTTTCTCTTCCTGTGCTTGCTTCTCAAGGGACACATCATCCTTAATTTCAGCCCCCGTCTTTTCATTTCCATCGCCACTTGACGTAACAATATTTTTGTTATCAGCCTCATCGCCCTCTGTAACTTCATCCTCATCTTTTTCACTACTGGATGAATCCGAGTACGAGAACTTTGTTATTTTGTTCACGGGCTTTCCAGATAGCCCCTCATGTCCAGCTTTCGGCTCGCTACCCTCCATAAGCTCTTCGTAGAACTGCAGAACTCAAGGATTATGTTAAAGGATAAAGTCTTGTTTCACTTCATTCAAGCTCCAAAGCAAAGAAACCGAATCAAATGAATCATAACCCCTCTAAAATTTATATTCAAAGTAGAATTACAAATCAAAGCATTAAACTCATACCCTAGTGGGGTCACATAAACAATCAATATGAAGGCAAAACATGAGATAAAATTAAGGAAAAAAATCAGAGTCTACTGATAAAACTAATCAATCACAGAAACCTAAATATGAAAAGGATTTTTAATTCAGGGCGATATAGAAACTTCAAAATTTGAACCATTTAAACTGACCAAAACCCAAGAAAACAACTACACAGTTAAGTCTGCTGAATTCAGGCAACTGACGAGAAAATCGAAAATTCCTAGAAAGCTGCTAAGTTCGGGCACGCACAGAGTCGATAACATTGATGGCTTCATGCGAAGCTTGGCGTTCTCTCCCACCATCACACGTTATAAAGAACCCCTCAACGCCAGGACGTAAGGGGTAAGATCCCTTTTTGATTGGCTTCTGGAATAAAAAAGGGAATCATTTGAAAATGTTCTTGTTAGCTGACATTTGTACAAACGAGTGGAAAAATTAACGAAACATTATGAAAATGAGAGGTTACATTGTGAGGCAGGTAATTCTTTCTTTTCTTGTTATTTTTGTTGCAGTTGCTTGCCTTGGATTTGTTCTCGGTCGCCATTGAAGGAGTTGCACCGGAGAGTGAAGAGAGAAGCTTTCGAACTGTTTTGAGTGTTGAGCAGTTGGCTCAAGTTGAGGTTTATTGTGGGGTGCGTTAATATTGGGCTTGGTTATGCTTTGATTCCACTAAACATAAAGCCCAATGATCATCTTTATTTATTTTTATTTTTTCCACAACAATAGACTTCAATAAAAAAACACGTAATTACATACTAGAAAGCAGCTAAATAGCCGAATAAATTAGCTACTAGGTTGAATCTAGTTGGGAGGAATAACCCCATAAGCCACTAGCACGAGACATCCTAGAACCTACCTAAACACATAAAAACAACACTACAAGACTCCCAACAGGATAATACAAATAACTTCCAACATGAGAATAAAACATCGAATTAAACACACAACTAACCACAAAAAGACAAAAACAGACAAACAAAAAGGAAAACGCTACAAAAAGAAAAAAAACACAACAATATCGAACATCTTCCCCTCCAAATAAGAACACTAAGCACCAACACAACTCAAGCTAACAACCAAACGCGAAACTCTGGAGAAGCCACTAGAACTAAAGCCCAAACACGATGGAACTAAAGACTCCCCTAATGGGCTAACTAGAAGCGGATCATAGATCAAACAACCGCCCTCGGAACTCCGCAGACCAATCTAGGCCGGTCCACTCCACAGTCCACCCCATGCAAACACCGGAGCCCGTACGCAGCTATGCCCGTGCCACCAGAGGACCGAACTTTTCCAACACCGGAGAAAGCCGGAGAGTGGAGGACCATGGCTAGACCGCTACCACAAACCTCCGTAAAGAAGCTCTTGACGTCCGTCGGAGCCCAGCCGGCGGCGAAACCCATCGCTACTCGCTCACCATCGCACTCGGTAATAGAGATGACCCACTTCGGGAGGAAGAAACGAGGGCCAACTATAGCCGCGCTCCGTCAAGCCTAGGCCGAACCAGTTGCTCGCCGGAACCGCGAGAACTAGGGCCGCTGGAGGGGAGGCACACCTGCGAGGGCGTAAGGCGAGGGTTCAAAGAATGAGATTTGGAGGTTTTTTCGCTTTTGGGGGAGAGAAAGAATAAAGATGATAAACTCATCGCTACTCTCCCCCTCAATGACCATCCTCTTTCACTAAAGAAAAAAAGGCTCTTTTACATTTGTACTGTGGCTATACATATAAAAATGCAAGTTTACATAATTTTAAAGTTATTTACACATGTACTAAAATAGCGCAAAATAATTAGATAATTGCTAAATGCATAAACACTACAATAAGTAAATAGTTTCCCAACTGAAATGCGTAATTGAAGGGTTGCACCATAATAAAAGTGAATACCATAATTGAAGGGATTTACCTAAAAAAAAAATCATTACTAAAAAAGCTCTCTCTCTCTCTCTCT